ATATATATATATATACAACTATAACAACTATAAATCGGTGTAGTGAAATGTTTCACTTGGAATTCGTTCTCATCGCTGGAAACGTAATAGTATCGACCACGTTTAAAGTCGAAAAGAGTATCTAACGACCAGTGCATTGATATAAAGTTTCCAACTACGTTTCTTTCATTTCAACAAAACATCCGTGGTTGTGTTCGAACACATGCCATCTTACTAATCAGCCCTGACAATAAGCGTCGACCTCCCACAACAGAACTACGTGCTCAAATATCTCGACTCCAACTCGGTTTCCAAAAGTGGGACGATAACGGATTTGAATTTTTATCATCATAAGTAGAAAAATCTCCTTACCCAGTTTGAACATCATCATAGTTATCAGCACCATCCTGTGATTTGTAGAACACAACCTGAAAAACTCCATGTCGAAGCACTTTGCACCGGGTCCACAGCCAAGTCAGAGAAGTGCCGTTAATCCACTCCATCCAGTCTGCTCCAGTTCAGCTGCTGTGTGAGAGCGAGGGAACACACCAGGGCACTGATGGAGTCCGACGTCGGTGTGTGTGTGTGTGTGTGTTCACCTAACCCGAGGCTGATGGCACGAAAACCTGGGATGGATATATGAATAAACCCATTTGAAAACCGCTCCTTTAAAGGAACACTACCCCTTAAAGTACTTGAGGAAACTACAAGGTTGAAGTGAGATTTTTTTTTAAACAAACACACACACGAGTATATTTTACTAAATAATAAAATAAACAAAAAATATTATATTTAAAACATTGTATTTAGTTTAGTTTTAGTTTTATAATGTATTTACCTTCAATGTAAATAAAACATTTATGAAAGTTTTACATTTAAAGTTAAAGATAAACTTTTTTTTATTTAAATGTAAAAGACATAATGTAGTTTGAAAACCAATTAGTTTCATAACAACAATGCAATTTCGACTGTTAGTGATTGAGAAGCTGACACAAATATTTTAGGAAGCCGCTTTAGAGCAGAGGTTGGCAACCCGCGGCTCCGAAGCCGCAGGTGGCTCTTTCCTCTGCTGCGCCTCCATGTGGCTTTGGAAAATTAAGAGTGCACTACAGGTGTGTGCGTGTGTGTTTGTGTATACGTGTATGTATGTGTGTCCCACCGACTCCAGTGTTAGATCGTATTGCTCCTTTTTTATTGTCCACCAGAAACGAAAACAGTTACGTAGTTAAATAAACATATTTATACGTGTGTGCGTGTCTGTGCTTCATTTATTCATTTATTTATTTTTATATATAAATATATATGTATATACATATATATGAAAATGCATTTATAAATACAAATGTGCACATATACATAAACACATACTTAGGATATAGAAATATAATAGTAAAATAGAAATATAATATCAAATAGATTTATAGATTGTGGTTATTGCACTGACTATTGTTGGGTTATTGCACATACTCTTTTACTCTAGTGTCAAACTCAAGGCCCGGGGGCCAAATGCAGCCCGCCTAGCCCTTTTGTGTGGCCCGCGGGAGCTTAAATAGTATTTAGTAAAGTCCATGCAGCAGAGTTTCTTAACCTGAGAAATCTTTTAGACTCTTTTCTGTTTGTGTCTGAATGACTGACATATTATTTTAGAATATTGTCAGATTATCTTTAAGTAAAGAAAGTAAATGGATTTGAGAGGATTTTAATTTGAATGAAGTAAATTCGTAAAAATTAAGCACATTTTTTCAGTGTGTCCCACTGTTGCCTGGTACCAAATGACCCATGGACCGGTACTTGTCCACGGACCAGGGGTTAGGGATCCCTGATCTATACAGTCTTCCATTTACAACTGTCCCTTTATGGGGAGCTATATTGCTGATGTGGCCCCCGGTGAAAATGAGTCTGCTCTAGTGGGTAAGGGAGTATATAAATGTGTATTGTTGTTTTAAACTCCTTTACTTCACACAAACAGAATCCACTTAAGAACCTCTGAACTGATAATAAATCACAAACACAAATGTATTTATCTGCTGTTAGATTATTTACATGAGCCTTGCTCATGATGTGGGTAACAGGTGAACAACAAATACAACTGTATTACATTTACTATGATTAAATGTTATTAAATGTAATAATTTTTCATCTTTACATTTACACCACCATGGTTGAGATGTCGGTGTGATCCAAGCTAATATTTTATTATTAGGCTGTTTTAGGGGTCCCATAGGCCCCAGAGTGGGGGTTGCAGTTCACTGGCCTTTGTTTGGTCACTTGTGGCCTAGTTAAAGCACTCCATAGAGAAGTGGGGGTGGGGGAGGATGTTCTTGTCTCTCTGGGTGAATCACGTGACAGTCGTTGTGATTTTTTTTCCTTCCCCTCATCCGATGGTGGTATGCTAGTCTGTTGAAGGATGAGAATGTGGTTGTACATCTCTATCCCTCAGCCATCCCACCTGCTACACACACACATAACTTTTTTTTGTTTGTTTTAAAGTTTTTTGTACAAGCATTGCAACAAAGAATTTTTTTTTTCTAAGTCTCTTTTCAACCCTGAACTCTGTGCTACTACTGTCACACATGTATATGATTTCATGGTCCTCTAAGCTGTTCTTCCTTTTCCCCACTACCCCACATCTAACATTAAACCAAATTCCTTCCTCTATATCTGAGATGCTACTCTGAAATGTAAAAAAAAAATAATCATAATAATGGAGAAATATCATCAACTACATGAAAAAACAAAAGAAACACAACATGTGTGTACCACATGAGACACAATAGGCAATAAAAACACATATTTATCTTGCCTTCAGGTTTCTCATCAAATTAGAGCATTCAGATTTGTTTTTAGTTTTTAGTTTTTTTGTTTTTTGTATTTTTGAAAAAAGAAACCAGCAGGGGTTTTTTTATTGTCAGATTTTCTTTTCTTCTCTGCATGTTTCCCATCAAATTAGTATTTTGAGAAAAAACGTTTTTAAAAAATCCGAGTTTTTTTTCAAAATTTGTTCTTCGTAGTACGGAGCCCCTAAAGGGACATGGGGGGGGGGGGGGGGGGGGCGCGGGGCTGCTCACGAGAAAGTGTATCTAAGACATTTTGCCACACATACATACAGGGTAATACATTAAAATAACAAACTGCGATAGGAGAGGGACCAGTGTATTTCGTGACAACTTTCACGTAATTACGTGATGTCTGTAAAGCACACTGAGTTTGCTTTGTGCATGAAATGAGCTCTATAAATAAAAATGAAATGAATGATATTATGAAAGTCCACCTGCGAGCCAATCACCACGGCCTGGGTCTGTGTGTGTGTGTGTGTGTGTGTTTTGAGGCATGGTGAGATTTTACAATTATTGCGCTCAGTGGATGCGATTGTTATTAGTATACGTACTCAGAAGGATGAGGAGGATGAAGGTTCAGGATGATTTACGTATATACGTATTTACCCTTCACGAACCTCCCTACACTGTTATCAACAGTAGAACAACAACAACAACAACAACAACAGTGCCATCCAGTGTCTAACTGAGGTACCCTACATTAATTAAATGCTCACCATATATATATACAGTACACGTCACGCATAACATGTCGGTATCTTAGATTTCCCAACCGTACGTACTGTACATGATTGTTTGTTATTTTAATGTATGTGTGGCAAAATCTCTTAGATATACTTTCTCGTGAGCACGAGAAAGTATCTCGTGGGCACGAGAAAGTATCTCGTGACGAGAAAGTATCTGGCACGAGAAAGTATCTAGTGCGCACGAGATACGTTTCTCTTTTTTTCCCCCATGTCCCTTTAGGGGCTCCATATGTCTTCATGTTTCACATCAAGAAGAAGAAATACTTCTCAAACAGTGGGACGGGCGTGGTCAGGTGCAGACGGGAGCAGGGTGGTTGGTCGTCAGAAGCTTTCAATGGAATATAGTACACTAAACAGAAGTGCAGACACTAGGTGGCAGCAATTCATACAGTGGTTTGTATAGATAAGAAAATACATATTATCAGGTTAAGAAAATACATATTATTAGGATCTCAATAACATTTCAATTACGGGGTCATGAAAAAATTCTGTCGCCTAGTGGGTGTGATGACAGAAAATAATTGATAACCACTGCACTAAGGCAATCATACCATCTCCAAGCACTGTACAATTGCCTAAGTCAGTGGTTCTCAAACTTTTTCTACTCTGTACCACCTGAGAAAACATTGATCTCTTTGAGTACCACCATGATGACCAACATTAGAATATAGCTGCATAGACCTTCACTGTTAGCTTCCACCACACAGGAGAGAGGTTTAGAAATGTTTAGAAAGATGTTTATGTTTAAATGTTGTATTAATTGTATTTGGTGTGTTTCAGATTTATTCAATTGAAAATGGATATGTGAAAATATGAATTTTCCCCACGTACCACTGGTGTTACACGTACCACACTTTGAGAACCACTGGCCTAGATGGCAGCAGATTGCACATTGGCAAGGACTGACTAATTTGAAGGAAGGAAGAAAGTCACTTCAACTGTGACTGTATGTCATGAAAGTACAAAAGCACGTAGACCAGCAACTCACGTTTACCACGAGGTAAGCTCGCTGTTTTTGTCAATGGAATCTGGTTTGCTGGAGAGTGAGAACAACAATCAGAGTTTTTAATTGGAAGAATAGCAACTTTTCTAATCATTTCTAATTTTCTAAACTAAGCTAATCAGCGTCTAGTCTTTAGAGGTTGTAAAGTCCATTGAAACAAAATGTGTTTTGTGAATCTATTTTGATAAGGTTAAAGGGAAGTCTAAGCAGTGGTCACCCCAAGCCGACCTCTCCATTCTTAAAACATCCCAATATACCTTTCATCATCTAAATCTGCTCTGGAGTATCCCCACTTCATTTCTCATGTAATGAAAAGATATTTGTGCAAAGCTGGCAGGGATAAAACTTACTCTGGTAATATTTGAAAAGTAAATATAACAATAGATTCCAAAGAGTTTTAAAGATTATGTCTGCTTGTGGGCTTAGTTTTTCAGGAAATCACAGTGAGTCATGTCTGACCAGACAAAACAGAAGACTTGTCTATATGTGTGTGTGTATATATACATACACACACACACAATTCCAATAAACACTCAGCTCTTACAAATATATTCCAATTTACTTTGTAAATACTATTTACTACTAGAAACTTTTTGGTTTTGTTACAATTCAATAAATGGTCCATAAAAAAGAGCGCACAAGAACAAGACACAAACAGGTCAAATTATTGATCGTAATTTAGCATGTTGAAGTTCGAGGAGATTAATGAAGGAGAAGGCTGGAGCAGAGGTGCAGCAAACCAATGGCAAGACTTGGAAAAAGTACTTGGGGGTTAGGGTAGGGTCTCGCCATATACTGTATATATATTTAAAAAATAAATCCACTTTATGAATGGTCCCTTCAGAATCACCTGTTTAATATTATTTGTCTGACACCAATCGGATAGTTAGTTCTTAATGAAAAAGGGAAAAGTCCACATTGGAACAGAGGCACAGATATCTCATGTCCATGGAAGTCGTACTTCTTGAGTCGTGTGCTGTGGGAGGGCAAGGAATCTGCACCCCTCCTCCCCCCTACCCTGAGGGATGATTTGATTTATAGGTTAAACCACTTATTTTTAAAAAATGCACCAGAGCAGCATTGAGTTGAGTAAAGTATTTAGACCGGAGGTGTTTTTTACTCAGGGTGAGCCTCTCCAGGCCTATGCACTATATATTGACAACCTAGTCATCCACAACTCAAAAAACAATCAATTTCTTTATTGTCTATGAAGATTCTCAGTCATCAAGGCCATAGTCCAGGTTGAAGAGTTCTGTTTTGTTCCAGTTGCCTAACAGAACTCTTCAACTTCAATCAATTCCTGTATTGTTACACACTCAAAAAACTTTTTTTAACTGAAATATTCGCATTTTATAGATTTGAATTAATTACTTTTACAATTTGATCACATTTCTTTAATCACTCTTTTTTATACTGATGTTTGCTGTTTTACAGATTCACTCTGTCCTTTTTTATATCTGTTGTTCTTCCAATTATTTAGTTAATAAGAAATTTTATAACAAATTTTATTTAAAGTATTGGTTGTATGTGTTGTAATATTTTTTCAAAATGTATATGCAAATATCTCTTTATATATCTTGTAAACTTGGATACAGCAGGAGGTAACACTCAAAAAAGATTCTTTGTGAATTGTTTGCGTATATTTGAAAAAGGGGGCTGGGCGTATCTTCTTACAGCGGCTACTAAGAAGGAGTGACAGACGAGGTTTGGTTAAATGTCACGTTCACATTTTCTTCACTTGAACTGACTTGACTGATCTGAGAAGAGCTCCTGAAACTATGTGAGTACTGCAGACGTTTTGCTTTGACACACGCAAATTGTTTTGATCATTTTAATTCACATTTCATGATGTATAGGACATCACTGTTGTTTTTGTTTTTTTCATTGCAGCCTTTTCAGCCACAAACACAATGGCTGGTTGGTTACCTGATTTTATCTTTTTCATATATAATGTATATACAATAGTTGGCAAAACCTAAAGTGACAGTTTTGGCTAAACACAAACATTAAGCTGTTAATTCTTTTTGTTTGCAGATGTCAGTTTTAAGAGGGAGTTCCTGGAGGCACACAACAGCTACAGGAAACTCCATGGTGCACCACCACTGGCCCTCAGCAGTGAGCTTAATGCCACAGCTCAGAAATGGGCTGATCGCCTGCTGGCCCTGGGCCTCATGAATCACAGCGACACCAAAGATGGAGAGAACATCTACACCGTTTTGAAATCAGAGCAGCTGACAGGTGGAACATTAATAAATGCACTATTAATCTGTTCTTGTTAACTTTATTTGTTGATGTTTACTGAAAAAGCCAAAAAACTTAGCCAAAATGAAGAAGCTTTACATGCATTACTGTCCAAAGACTCACAATAGTATTTGCCTATACATGTCGTTCTTCTGGTTTTACCTGTCTAGCTAAGTAAGATCTGCCTAAAGCTGTTAACACAAACCCTTTATTATGGCTTTGTCAAGTCTTTCAGTGCTACACTATTTACTAGTTTTTCTTGCAGACAAATAATGATAGTTATAAGTTGTTCTTCTCTAAAATGGAAAAACAACCAATTCTATATATATCTATTTTAAACAAATTATCAGGAGAAACATTTCTTTTATGTTTTATGTTTTATGTTAGTTGACACAGTTTTTTATTTTATTTTTTTTGGGGGGGGGGGGCAGGGGGAGTCCTTCTTGTAAGGAACCAGATAAAAAAAATCAAGCAGAACACACACCAATCCTTCCCTCCTTAATTTATTGTAATACATATATAAATATTGTAATGTATATTATAATATTTGTTTGTTTGTTTTATCCAATTATAGCAAAGGAAGCTGTAGATTCTTGGTACAGTGAGGTAAAAGACTACAACTGGAATAACCCTGGGTTAAAATCCAACACAGGTAAAAACAATACTGTTTAATTTAAATATCTTATTAAACAGGAGTTGTGGAATTTAAATAAGTAAAGATAAGATTTTTGTTTTTCTTTATTTAAGGCAAGAAACAGACAAAACCAAACTTTATAAGTGTGCTATGTTACTTCCTTCAGGTCATTTTACCCAAGTGGTGTGGAAAGAAACCACTCAACTGGGTGTGGGTGTGGCAACTGTTGGCACAAGATCCTATGTGGTTGCCCAGTACCGACCAGCTGGCAACATGACCATGCCAGGGAAATTTGAAAGCAATGTCCTCCGACAGGGTAAGGGGAAACAACACTTCAGGGAATACACTTTTTCGTTTTTTTGGTTGTTGTTTTTCAATTTGGGATATAATGACTCGCTATCAGTGGTGTTCACAGACACTAGATGGTAGATGTAGAACCTGCCCCTTTTGCCCTCTGAACCAAAGAAGTATCCTATTGAATTTGTTTTTCTTTCTTACAATCAGTTCTCGATTAAGAGTGTGTAATAATGATGCCCCAAAATGCCCCCACCACATACACACACATGTGCCCCCCTCCTTTCCCTCTCTTTGTTTGTCAACCTGAACACGCTAAGCAGACACAAACAGAGGCTGCACTGCCCTGCCCCACCAGTCAGGTAACACATATATAACACAATACACGTAATGCCTTAACTCTTACACAAATCATTTAATCATTTAAAGTGAACATCATATCATGTTGTTGATCTGGGCAGCTAATGGACTACCAAGATGCAGCTAACTGAGTCCTTGGAAGAAGTGTTCTGCTCTACCACTAAAGAACATTTACCACCAAACAGGATTACACTTTATAGATCGACTTCAATATTAATTAAAGCCCAGTGAATACTCCTTTGTGTTCACACTGACTTTTAATACGGGATTCAATACGCATTCAATATCCGTTTTTATTCATTTGTCAGCTTTTTTCTCTGAAGAAAAGATTGAAAAAAAAGTGAACATTAAGCAACACTCATCACAAGAAAACACCTGACAAGCATGGTTAGATTAACCAATTTCCAAAACAATGACCTGGAGAATAAATAAATTTGAGGCAGGCATGCTGACCACTACACCACAGAACCATTCGCTTCTATAGAGGAACAGCCTAGAGCTGAAGAATGTGTATGGCCAAGCCTATCCAAACAGAGTTACATCGAGGGCAACTGGACAAAGTAGGTTCTTCTTTCATCTCTCATCCAAGAGGCTTCTTCAGACATTGGATGAGAGGTGGAACATCTTCAAAAAAACACTCCGTCCAGTTGCCCTCGATGTAACTCTTTTTGGATGAGATGACCTGAATGACTGAGAAACTACACAGATATGGCCAAGGCTACAATGGGGCATGTATGTGAGTGGCATATACAAAGGTCTTCATGCCAGAATATGTGCACAAAATGAGAAGTTCCTCTATGTGCACTGAGAATACAATGTCTTTCTGGACACTATGACCGATGAGCTGAACAGGAGACTCACGGAGGACAACACTGGAAGTCCAATTGTCAGAATCAAACAGTACATCCTCACTGAGAAAGCACGCCCAACGCAGAAGTCAAGGAAGCTTTCCACATTCTCTGTGGTTTCTATGGAGATGACACATCTTGCAAAAGATCTCAAAGAAATTATTTCCACACTGAGGTTGAACAGGATGCAGCTCATCTTTCCTATTGTTGTGAAGAACACAAAACACAAAGAATACAAATCAAGACTGCAGACACTTCAGGTTTCCTTTCCTCACGCTATGCTGAACTCAACCCATTCTCTTCTATTCTCTTCTAACAAACCTTGTTTATTTTATCTATAAATTACAATAACATACACAACTGAAACAGACAACCCATAGAGCTGGAGACCCAACGTTTACTTACAGAAAGTAGAAAGTTAACAGAGCTAATGCTAAATGCCCGCTGACTGAGCGGCAGGCAGACAGCAGTCTGCCTGCCGTGGTGGCTTAGTGGTCAAGAAAGGGGTCAAGAAAGCGGACTTGGGTACGGAAGATTGCAGGTTTGAATCCACCAGCTGCCAAGTTACCACTGGGGTGCTTTGAGCATGGCACCATCCCCTCACACTGCTCCCCGGGCACTCAAAAAAGCTGCCCACTGTTCACTTTGGGGATGGGTTAAAAGCAGAGGTCAAATTTGGTTGTGTGCAGTGATGTATATCACAATGACAAGGAGTTCACTTTCACTTTCCCTCACTTTGACAACAGATTACTGTACATGGAGTTGTTGGGTTTTTTTAACAAGTCACTGCACACTGACACTGAAACTGGCACTAAAAGCTGAATCCGTGCCGAAGTCGCAAATGACACACTAGCATTTTATTTCCTACCAATCCAATGGTGTCTTAGGAAAACAATGACCTCATTTAATCCAGTCAATGTATACTTACTTATATTCACTCAGGCAGAGTTGGGCGGTTGTGCCGAAAGTGTTGAAACGTACAATACCAGATGTATTTCTGTATTTCACTGAACTTTTTAATTGCTGTGCTTTAAATGCTGGCAAGACATCATCCATGTGGATATCTTGTTGACATTTTTCTGCCAATATTTCAGCAAGAATCCACACAGCTAATTTAATGCGCCTTTCCTCTGCCATTTCCCCCACTTGGTCAGGTCTTTTCTGCAACTTACGGACCGAAAACAAAGCAACACACCCGGCAATGTGCTACTGTTGTGTCAATTTCTTCTCGTTCCGTGTGACTTGTGCTTAACTGTTGTTGTTGTTGTTCTTTTTCTTTCAACGTTGTCCATTTTTTCAGGGGTTGCCACAGCTAAATATTGATTTCCATCTCTCCCTGTTCTCTGTATCTTCTACTCTGACTCCAACTATCTGCATGTCCTCCCTCACTGCATCCATATATCTACTCTTTGGTCTTCCTCTTTGTCTCCTACCTGGTAGCTCCATCTCTAACATTTCCACACATGTCCAAACCATCTCAATCTGGCTTCTCTAGCTTTTTCTCCAAACCTTCCTGTCTGTGTTGTCCCTCTAATGACCTCATTCCTGACCCTGTCCATTCTTGTCACTCCTAAAGAGAATCTTAGCATCTTTAACTCTGCCACCTCCAGCTCCTCCTCCTGTCTTCTGCCTATTGCTACTGTCTCTAAACCATACATCATGGCTGGTCTCACCACTGTCCTGTAAACCTTTCCCTTCACCTTAGCTGACACTCTTCTGTCACAGATCACCTTCACCTTAGCTGACACTCTTCCGTCACAGATCACTCCTGACACTTTTCTCCAGCTGTTCTAGCGTATTATTTTCTGATATTCAGGAAAGTTAAATTAATTAGTCAATTAGTCAATTAACTGTAAAGCTTAATATCGCAATTAAGTGATATTAAGTAATAACAGATGCTAGTTAAATGATAAGGACTCATCTTTGATGCGATAATAAAAACAAAAGGACCGATTACATTGTTCCCACTAACGTTAAAAGTTGATTTTCTTGTTTTATATTTATGTATTTAACAAGATTTTCAATTTTACAGGCAGCAACGGGGCGCGTGGATCAGGAGGGTCATCAACTGGAGGTGGAGATGGAGGCAAGTGGAAGAGACGGGAAAAGAGTAAAGGAAATGGACAAACTGAAAATACATTGTGCTGTACATTGTTATAGACACCAGTTGTCTTGTTTAGATGCTTAACATCTAAAATAAAAGCATTCCTATAACTTTGCTCCCTCTCTTAAGGATTTGTGTTTTATATTGTAAAATAAACTTTAAAAAGGTGGTGACTTTTTTACTGCTACATAACTGATATTAATTAAATATAAATGATAACTGTCAGCTGAAGTAGAAATCACTGACAGAAGATGTTTATACTTTAACAACATTAGATTGTGGCAGGATGAACAACTGCGAAGCAAAGCAAAAACAATACATAGGATAATATATATAAATTGGATAGCTACTGTAACACGTAAACTTTTTTACGTAAACACGTAAAAAAGTTTAAGTTTAAGTTTAGTTTTAAGTTTTAATCAAACCAACTGTTCTTTCATGATGAAGCACATTGTTTTTATGACAACTACTTGTTCCCTTATTTTAAAAGTATCACTGTATTTCTTTCAAAAACAAAAACAAAAACATACTCTTGAATACACGGTCACATATAGAGCTAAAATGCAGCATAAACATTTGCTTTTCTCCAAACCTTTCGAGTGGGTTTAATAAACGTAACATAGTTTCACTCTTCCCTCTTAGACAGCATCCTGTCTTTATTAATGTATGCATTTTATATGTTGTTTGTGCTAAATTTGTGCTAGGACAAATGCTAAATGTAACATCTTAGGAAGTCGCTCTCTTTTAACCAGCCGTTACTTTCACAAATTTAAGTTTGTTTTTGTTTTGTTTTGTTTGTTTTTTGTTGTTGTTGTTTTGTCACTTCACGTTGTTGTTTTTCACTTATTGCACATTTAGCCATTATTATTTTTATTCTGTTTTACATCATTATTTACTTTTTTAGTTTTAGAAATATATATAAGTTTTTTGAACCAAAAAATTCATTTTCAATTCATGATCATTCAACGCATGATGCCAGTATATAAACGTAACCACGGTTTTAGTCATGTGACCACAATAATTAGTTTTTCACAATTGCGTCCAGATACGAGGCTAGGTCGACTGCCATCAAGTGGCGTCAGAAGAGTACAACACACGTTGCCATGTTGATAGCCACTTCAAGCACAAACATCAACAAGGTAAGAATCCCATAAACCGCACAGCTATTACTGTAAGTACGCACGGGTCTGTATCCTCCAGTAAACTTACACCACCCCCGGGGCTTAAAACCAAAACATGAATTAAACCCTGCCCGCTGGAAAATAGTGTTTGACCACAATTTTGTTGTCTGTCAATCCAGCCTCTGCTCAGTGCTTGCCATGGTT